TTTTCTTTAATTTCAGAGGACCAGAATGAAAAAAAATGGTTCAGAGAAACTGAGAGAAAAGCCCGGAATCAGGGAGGGACTATTTTCTGCAATATCGAGACGGAACCTTTTGGTGTGAACATGGAGGCAGGAGAAGCATATATTAATATATGGACTCAGATGTATATGCAATGTACGTTATGTTATGTTATGTAAGTTCTTTGCAAGTTCTTGCCCGAGGACTGATGCAAGTAACAGAACGAACAAACAATTAAGTTACATTAATTAAAATGTTAATTAATTAAAATTATGACAGTCATATTAAGCCATGGCTATCTAGACTTCCATGTAATATATGGCGTATATCTTACCATAAAAAAAGACGACATTTCCGTTATATGCATGCGTGTCATGAAGAGGCATGGACTTTGATGTGGTGAATTATGATAATAAAGCATTAGGAGGAGATGCCATCTTGGTGGGATACACCGATCCAAGATGGCGGCATCGAGCTTTCTAGACAGAACACAGAATGCCGGCAAAACGTACAGCAACTGCGCGAAACTTGGATTTTTCACGGTTTTTGTTGAAAGTTTGGTCAACACTGCATCAGAATTTTGCCTGTTGCAGAAGATATCTTTTCCGAAAGAACATTTCGAAACTACAGACGGAGTGTTAACCTTATATACACCAATACGACCTTATATGAGACGTTCTGCTGAAGTGCTATGCACAATACATTACGGGTTTCGCGCAGGTGCAGTACGTTCTGCCGACGTGCTACAGAAATGCCACCTTAGCTTCGCGATAGGACCTAAAAGAGACGTTCTGCCAACGTGCTTACTTTTACTGTAATTTAAGACTGGTGTTTTAAACACCTGTAGTGCAATATATTGTTATTGACCAGGAGGTTTTTTTCTCTGGTTGTGGGAAAATGTATTAAACGCTGCTGCTGACACTGGCCGGTGAGCTGACGAGTTTAATATTATTGTACATGTATGAACGTGTCCAGACAACATGTATAACTGCAACATGGCTTCGTGGATACTCCTGTATGTGGAACAAAAATTCTCACAGATTCTGTACTTTTTGCTTGAACTTCTACCGCTGGATATTTGTTGTAGGGTTGTTTTAGTAAACTGTAAGCACTTAAACATGGAACAGTTACAATCAGATGTAGAATTTTGCACAATTCGCTCCTACTCATAATCATATAACTAGAACTTGGTTTCTATATACTAGTAGGCAAGCAAAGATGGTGGACTATTCAAGCTTTGGCTGGGATTGTACAACAGGAAAGTTAAGAATAATTATTGGCCAATGGATATATCTTTTCAAAGACTTAAAATTTATGGTTATCATATCTATGCAACAAATCTAGACCCTTCCTGTGTTTAAGGTTTTTAGAGAGTTTACTTAATAATCAAAATATTGACCACGGCGTGTATGTATGACATACTCGTGACATGACGTTTATGTGACATGTTCTTATTCTTACGACACTGGGAGCAGATACAGTTGCTTCTGGTCATTACTGTCATACCAAAGATGAATAAAGTTATTGAATATAAAAATGATGGTTGAGTTTTTGTTATTTGGTTTGATATGGATTCTATAATATCTCGCCTTTCATCTTCGCAAAGACGAGTAAATCCAAGCAAAGCATGACTTCCCACAAGGACACACTGGTTAAATTTGATGATTGACATGTGTATCAGTTGTCTTAAGTTTGTAATAGCTTTGGTGCTCAGGTTAGACGAAGGCAACGATTGTCCCACCCCATATCTGCCTGGAGAACTCAGAGTCCACATAGTCAAATAATCTGAGTTCACTCTAAGTGCTCTAAAAATTCTGAATCTAAGATTATACTTAGTCATGTGGCAATGAAAACAGGATGGGAAAAAAGCAACTCAGAAGAGCCGTTTTACATGTTCCTCTCCTCTTGCTCTGTTTCTTAGTAGCAAACAGTAAAATTCCTCACGCTGATACAAGATTGTGGCGGTGCCAACTTTAGTACAACTTTCTTCCTACAGTAAATAACATCTAAAGGTGAAAGTTTCAGGTTCAACTTCCGTGTGAGTGAACTTGAGCGGCACATCTACTGTCCCAACATTGCTTCAAGTTCAAAGCTGTGGGTTTCACGCCGTCCATGGCGGCGAGGCGCACATTTTGAGCAACAGAATCTTGTGAACAGAAAGAAGACAAGGTCAAGTTCAGGGAACATTCTGACTTTGCTTCAGTGTGGGTGAAACTCAGCCCCCGGCTGTTATGTAACAGTCAGTAACCTTTGGTCCTCATTTCCTCAAACATCCGAAACCCATCTTAAAATCTTCAGGATTGTCAAGAAGTCAAGTTCATTTAATCTGAACTTCAGCATGGGTGAAACTCAGCTCTAAAAGCCTTTGATAACTGTAATGTAAAAGACATTTGCTTTGAGACACCATTTCCTGAAACGCAGCCTCTCAAAACATCTAAATGTGCAAATTGTCCAGGATTTTAACAATCCAAGTTACATGTACTGCTTGGATGGTAAAACTCTCTATACACAGCAGGAAATGGAGTGTTCCATCTGTATCTGCATACATGTACTTGTGGCCTATTGACATAAAATAGCACACCGTCTCCTTAATCGTTCTTCCAAGAAACGCTAAGGAAACCATCTGTCAGGATTTCTGAGAAAGATCGATTTTGAATCTAAATTATACTAAATTTTACTGCTACCGGAAATGGTAGGCAGACTTCCGGAAGATCTTCCGGGAAATGGTGGGCAGATTCCTGGAGAAGCCTGATTTATTCCACACATAACCGAAAGAAAGAGAACCAGACAACCCTGGGTACTTCTCTGTTCCGGTCCCATTTCCAGTCCAATAGTTCAACTGCGTTATCAGGTTGGACCACGGTCGTTAGCCGGCCCTACAGGAAATCATAATGGCTAAACTCCCACTGTACCTGACAGGGACGGGTTCTACATGGGGCTGACTTATCTTCTTCTAAGCAAATCTCTTATGGTGGCTACAAGACAGGAGGAAATTGTCAAAACAGTATTCATTTGGCAAGACAATATAGCAAATTAGCAATACAGTACCCAATACACTTGTGATAAAAATATAACTGTACAAAAAAAAACCAACAAAAACACCACAATAAGCTTGTCTTGGAGATTGCGGCAACATGTCTTAAAATCAATGGCAAGATGTGTCTGAGGAATCAATAGTACTGTCTTTAAAAGACAGAATGCCAGCTTAAGTGTACTCAAGACAAAGGAGGAGTACTTTGGGCTGTTTTAAATCATTTCTGTGCATCACATGATCAGGATACTTCTGCATGGTAAGACTTGGGTAGGTGCAAACTTTGCCGTATTTTTGCACTCATGTGGGTGTAACATGAGTATTGTAGGCCATGTTGGATGGTTTCACCTGAAGGTTGGACCTCTGGAGTGTCAGGTTTTGGCTCAACTTTTCCCAATTCTCTCCCCTAGCATTTCCTCTTGGAAAAAAATCCCCTTCCTCATGCATCGAAAATGACACCAAATCATTATGTTTACCAAAGGAAAACAGATTGTTTTTGCTCAGTTTCCTCTTCTTCCACTCCAAACAAATAAGGTCAATGACCTGAACCAGACGTCTGTCACCATGGTAACTAGTGTTGTGTTACATCATGTTGCAATTTTATAGCAGGAGGGATTTAGACTCCTGTCTGACCATACATATATATATATGAATGTGTTTGAGTAAGAATTAACAGAGCAGACCATATGCGAAGTGAAACATTAAAAAATGCATTTGCTTTGCAAATGTTACCTTTCTAGTGTAGTTATCATTTTTCAAGTGCAAATTAACAAACAATTCTCCTCCCTTTCCACCCAATATTCCCCTTTCTGCAAGCATTGAACAAGATACAAAATCTTTAAGTATGATCCTTCAGTTGGAAAACAAAAAGCACACGTTACACCTTACATACTGATATGCAATGAATATATTGTGTATAATAATATACAAATTCATCTTCCAAAGTTATCGAAATCCTTCACAAACATCAATCAACTCCAAAAACCTCTCACTTCTACATTCCTGTAAAGTTAGTTTATAAAATATCCTTAAAATTCAATACTAGTTATTAATTCACTACAATTATATAGTATAAGTATAGTTTAGAGTCTTATATGACATAAAATGTTCGTGCATGATATGTTATCATAAATTGGCTAAATATACTCTCATTTCTAAAATATAATTAGCTAAAAGCACTTTGGGTGTAAAAACAGTTTTTCTGTTCATCATGCTTCGGTGATCTTGAAAATTTGAATTAAAACATGATTCTAAATGTTTGTTTACAAAGATAATTATGCACTAACTGTAGTCAGAGATGCAAATTAAAGGAATATTCCATTTCAGAAGCAGGTACTAAAATTTAGCCACTGAATTTAAATGGGGGTCTTAAGGGGGGGGGGGGCAAAATTTTGATTGCGACAATGTTTTTACAATGTTCAGGTTTCAACTTATAGTAAATTTTTCTAAACAAACTGGATTCAAGCATAACAATCTATGAGGAATTTTGATACCCACATCTGCAGTGGACTATTCCTTTACGTGTTTGTTACACTGTAGCAAAGTGAAGGTTCCGTTCGCTACACTATTACAGTTTCTCTGGACTGGTAGGTCTGAGGGTATGAAGTGTGGGGGGTGAAAAAATAACACAGCAAAACAAAGAAAAACAAAAACAACAACATATGAGTTCGGGCAATCTTAAAACGGCTTCAGTCCTAAAATATAACCGTTTCATTTTCCACAATTTTCTTCTTCACGCAACTGCATAATATTGATAAATGTACTGACCAATAAATGAAGATTAAAATAATATAAAGGCAAAAATAATACCTAAGTGCTAGATAAAACAACAGCTAAATAATCAATCTCTCAATTTCGCACAGCTGCATATTTATCAAACTACTAATCAATAAATGAAGATTAAAATAATGTAAAGGCAAAAATGATGCCCAAATTCTAGATAAAACACAGCTAAATAAGCTGGTACTAAAAATAGATACTTGTAGATAAATACCAGATAATACAGGGCGTTATTGTAGGATAATGACCTAGTAAAATAGAAACCCAGATAATACAGGGTGTTATTGCAGGATAATGACCTAGTAAAATAAATACCCAGATAATACAGGGTGTTATTGTAGGATAATGACCTAGTGAGTTAAGAAACAGAAGTCCTCAGTCCACCTTGATCCAGCGGCCGAGAGAGTCTGCAAGACATTCCATCCACCTGCGGAGCAACAACAAGGTCACTTCAAGGTCATAAATGTCAAAAAGCAGATGCCACAATGCACAGAATTCAAACATTCATTCACACATCGCACATTCAGAACAGCAAGGTCATGTGAAGGTGAATCAGCACCAAGGACATGACAAGGTCGGAACAGCAACAAGGTCGCATGATGGTGAATCAGCACCAAGGTCATATCATATTGTCATAACAGCAACAAGGTCATGCGAAGGTGATTCAGCACCAAGGTCATGTCACATTCAGAACAGCAACAAGGTCAGGTGAAAGTGAATCAGCACCAAGGGCATGTGAAGGTCAAATTGACAACATTGTCGTGTGAAGGTCAAACAGCACCAAGGACTTAGGTTATGAATGTTAAACAGCATCAAGGTCATGTGAAGGTCAGATCAGCAACAGTGTCGAGTGAAGGTCATATGAATGTCAAACAGCATCAAGGTTACATGAAGGTCAGAACAGCAACAATGTTGTGTGAAGGTCATGTGAAGGACAGAACAGCACCGATGCCATTGATAACCTCGTGACCTTGACTCGAGACTTACTTGAGTTTCTCGGCCTCGTTGTCTGCGCTGAAGTAGAAGGTCCGGATGTCGGGGTCAGGCGGGGTCAAACAGAAGGCGTGAGACTTCCCCCCTGTCGCCATGGGCTCCACCCGGTAACCATGGAAATGGGCCACGCCTGGAAACGGAACAGGGCAGATTAATGCAGGAATTCCGCCAAATCAAGCGAGTGGCTGATAGACCAAACTAGTTCAGAGTCCTTCTGACATTTTACCCCACTTGTAGCAAGATGAATATATAAGAAGTCATTGGTCTCACCGACAGCACGATTAGAGTTGTAGTTGGTGAAGTTGCAGTAGTAGTAGTAGTTGTAGTAGTAGTAGTAGTAGTAGTAGCAGTAGTAATAGTACAGTCATGTAGTAATACTCACCTATAGCGCGTTTAGAGTTGTAGTCGGTGTAGTAGTAGCATTAATACTCACCAATAGCGCGTTTAGAGTTGTAGTTGGTGTAGCAGTAGTAGTAACAGCAGTAGTAGTAACAGTAGTACTCACCGATAGCGCGTTCAGAGTTGTAGTAAGTGTAGTCATAGTACTGTAGTAGTAGTACTTACCGACAGCGCGTTTATAATAGTAGTAGTAGTAGTAGCAGTAGTAGTATTACTGTAACTGTAGTACTTACCGATGGCGCGTTTAGAGTTGTAGTCAGTGTAGTAGTACAAACATCCATCCTTCAGCACACAGTACCTCCTACGCCAGACTTTGTGCACGTAGCCCAGCTTACTCAGGTAACCATGATAGTCTGGTTCAGGGATGGAGAGGGCTGGCAGACGCACGTTGTTCATGCTGATGTCCAGCCAAACGTCCAGCTGTAGGGAAAAATTATTATTAACATATCATTAACTTCTCATTAACTTATTAACTCATTATTAACTCAGATAGCTGTGATAGTAAGGCTCTGGGATGGACAGGGCGGGCAGACGGACGTTGTTCATGCTGATGTCCAGCCATACGTCAAGCTGTATGGGGAAGAAGGTAAGTTATTATTAACTCATCATTAACTCATTATTAACTTCTCAATAACTTATTAACTCATTATTAACCCAGGTAACCATGATAGTCTGGTTCTGGTATGGACAGGGCTGGCAGACGGACGTTGTTCATGCTGATGTCCAGCCATATATCCAGCTGTATGGGGAAAATCATTAACTTATCAATAACTTATCATTAATTTATTAACTTATCATTAACTCAGGTAGCCGTGGTAGTCTGGCTCAGGGATGGAGAGGGCGGGCAGACACACGTTGTTCATGCTGATGTCCAGCCAAACGTCCAGCTGTAGGGAACAAGTTACCAACTCATCATTAACTTATTAACTAGTCACAGGAAACTGCCCGGCTCTAGGATGGACAGTGAAGGCAGACCCACATTGTGTGTGGCGTAATGGCAGAGTGCTTCACTCGGAACCAAGAGGTCCCAGGTTTGAGTCCTGACATGCCAACTATCTTGGGCAAGGCACTTCATATGATGCACATTGTTTCTACTGATGTTTGTAAAGCACCCTCTAGCAACATGACCAGGTACTGCAGGGCTAGGGGAGAGGGCAGTTTGACAGTCCAGACCTGGTTATTGCAAGGTTCTATGCTGATCTTAGACATAAAATAATCCTTCTGATGAGAGTTCTTGATGTCATTTCAGAGAAGAGCGGGTTGGGAAGAGTTTAGAGCTCTTTATATTTTTTAGTTTGTTTATTTGTTTGTTTATTCAAGGTCATGATGGGAGAGGTCAAGGTAAGATAATATGGTACAAACTAATCTTTTCTGAAAGACAAAAAAAAATCACCCCAAACTCACAGATGTTGGAATTTTTATAATTTTATTGATCAAAAGAATGACAGAGTCTCTTACTATTCTCATAATCTAATCATAGTACAAAATCATTGCTCAGTACACCAAATAACAAACTCCTGAATGTGGCTTCAAATCCCCTGCAGAGAAAGTTTACAAGTTGGGCTGCTTTAAGAATACATGTACATGGACATGGAGGATTGCCAAATTACTGAGTGGTTCGTACATTTTACACAATCATGACTGTTATACTGTGGTGTTCTAGTATTAACAGCTTCAGCAGTTGTGAAATATGGTGACTGTGCGGTTCATAAAATCAGTCACTACCAGCTGTCCCTGTGTTGCCATGGCAACAGCCCATGGCATCTCCATGTCTGTAGCGATGTGTTTGAGGAATTTTCCTGTCTTGTCAAACATCTCCACACGTCTGTTTTCACTGTCTGCCACGATGATGTTCCCTGCCCTGTCTGTACAGATGCCACGGGGAGACATCAGCTGACCTTCACCACTTCCCTCACCTCCAAACTTGAACAGAAACTGTCCGTCCTCTTTGTACACAAAGACACAGTGATTCTCACAGTCTGACACAAGAATGTTCCCCTCCCTGTCCACAGTGATGTACTGTGGTTCCTCCATCCCCTGCTGCTGACCCACAGTTCTCACAAGTGTTCCATCTGGCCTGAACACCAAAACTTCAACATGTGGGTTGCCCCAGTCTCCTGTGGTTTGTGTGATGAGGATGTGGTTCCTCCTGGTGTCCACAGCAACTCCTCTGTACCACCCTGTCTCCTGTAGGTCAAACTTCCTCAGCACCCTGCCCTGGTTGTTGTACTGTACAGCAAACTCACCAGAGCCTGAGTTCCCCACCACCCACAGGTTCCCCTCCCCGTCCAGGGCCACATCATCTGGCCTTATCTCCACTTCACCTGACACGACTGTTGGGAACTGTCGGACAAACGTTCCCTGCAGGGTGAAGACTTGGATTCCCTGCTCCCCGTTGTCTGCTACAAAAATCTCCCCTTCATCTGACACTGTAACACCAATTGGATCCTTGAACTGTCCTGTTCCTGATCCCTCTCCACCAAATGTCACCTTCTGGGGCTGAGGCTCCTCTTGCCTTTGGTTACCATGGTGATGACCTGTGCCCCTTGCTGCAGGTGCTGCTGGGATTGGTGCAGATGGGAGAGACTGGACCGTCACATGTCCCAATACTGGCACGGGGGTGTCTGAGGGCTGAAAGACAGCAGGCTGGGTTTGTACAGGAGTTGGTGCTGCTTTTCCTCTGTACTTTCCTACCACCTCTGTCAGAGCGGTTTGCTGACTGAGAAACTCGACCCCTCCCTGCTGCAGTTCTTGTTCTGCTCGATCACAGGCAGCAGACAGTTCATTGACATCTGCTGACACTCGGTCCCGTTCAGTCTGTATTTTCTCCAAGTTTTCCAGGTGATTTTGTTGCACTTTTGCCAAGAGTTCGTTGCAAGCCTGAGTGATAGCATTGTCTGTCTGCTGTTTCCGTTTATTCAGGGTTTTCTCAGTCTCTCTCAGACCTCTGATGAAGCCACAGTAACTTTCCAGAATGTTCCTCCCCTCATGGATCAAGGCCTGGACTGTAGGTCTGTTTTCCTGTGCAGCTTTTTTGATGGTTGTTAGAAGATGACGATTATGAGCCCCCTCTATGCACTCGTCACAAACTGGCATCTGACATTGTTTACAGTACATTCTGTACACATCAGTAGGGTGAAAACTGCACCTGTTTCCAGACTGGGGCTGTTCCCTTGTTTCCTCTGATGTTGTAGCTTGTTGTTGGAACCTCTCACACATGTTAGCCACTATAAGATTGTCTGGCAAACCTGCGACCCCCTGAGGTGGCAGTGTGACTTGTTGCCGACAGATTGGGCACCGGAGGGTCCCTCCCCACCCTGCAACACCCTGTAGACAGTCCTGACAGAAGGTGTGCTGACAGGGCAGCACCTTGGGCCTGGTGAACAGCTCCAGGCAGATGCTGCAGGACAGTTCTTTGCGGAATTGTGTCCCCAAATTTGACGGTGCAGCCGCCATTTTGTTGCCCCTCCCAAGCCTGTGACATCAGCCTTGAAGTGAAAAAACCTGTTTAACATCCTGTGGGTCACTAGCACAGCAGTCAGCTGACAGAATTAGCAAGGCTCCACCAAGGGCCTTCAGGGCACACCAGCCGCCATTTTGTTGACCTTAGAATCCTACAAGGTCATCTGTGCCATTTTTTTTCTGTGCACCCAAATATTTTCATAGGTTTGCGTAAGTAAAGATGTTAAATGTTGCATATTTTTAGAATATATTTAGTGTCTGCATTGTTAGAGTACCTGGCATTTTGTTGTCCTTAGAATCCTGCAAGGTCATCTGTGCACCCATTTTTTTTCGCAGGTTTGCGAATGTAACGTTAAAGATGTTAAATGTTGCATACAGTTCTTAGAATATATTAGTGTCTGCATTGTTATAGTACCTGGAATTTTGTTGTCCTTAGAATCCTCCAAGGTCATAAAAAAGGTCTGCCGGGAAGTGAACAATTTTTTCTTTGGCTCAGTATTGTGGGATAGATTGGCTATATGGGTTTAAAGAACTGCAACCTCAGTCACATCTTTTAACATTACCTATCATTAAGTTCATCTGTGTTGGTGGTTTCATGTTTAAAGTTAAAACTTTTGATCCAACACAAAGAAATTCTCCCATATATAGCCTCCTGTGCAGGCCTCCGGGCAGGTGGGAGTTTTGATACTGAGTTTTGTAGAATGTTTAACACGTTCTTTTGCCGGCCATCCTACAACCAGCCGCCCAGAGAAGGTTTGTATTCGCGAAGCTATCTCACCTAGAGCTTTCGACCAGTCACTCTGGTCTTTCTCAGTAGACTGACCCAGTGAAGCTTGTCACATGGCTTCTTTGAAGTGTGACGTCAACACTGGGTCAAAGAAAGTTCTAGAATTAAGACTTAACAACCTTGTTATTATCACTTATCTATCACTTCACAACAAGTTTGATGACATACCTTAGCAGACTGTGCAGATGCTTGGTTCAGGAGCTGAGACCACCTAAAAACACAGAAAGGTTCTTTTAATAGTTACTCATTTTATTCTTTGTTTCAGGCCAAAGACCAATATAAAAGAAGGGAAGAGTACAAAAATACAGACACATAGAAAAATTTGTCGATGAAGGTTACACATCCAGGTAATATGATATGCCAAAAAGTCAGATGTTTCAGCTACATGTAGCATCCACTAGCTTTTGTCAGTCACTAGTCAGTTAGTGGATACTAGCTGAAACGTCTGACGTTTTCAAAATCATATCCAGTTGCTTGAGTAACTGCTTTTTGGCATGTAGAAAAATTACTGAAAAAAAACAACAACATAGCTTTAAAGTGCAGAGAAGTGCTAATTGCCCCTAACCTTGACCTCTAACTCTAAGATGATAAGAACTTTACTTTAAGACATCCTTACATGTCCATTTCCTCCTCTGATCCTGCTGAGAAGTAGTAAGTCCTGGTGTTGAAGCGGCTGGCCTTGAAGGCGTGAGTCCTCCCGATCTCGTGAGCTGGTGTAATCGTGTAGTTGGCTAGAACAATTGTGCCAAGGGGTTCCTTGTCCTGTAGCAGGAAATACAGAATGATTTTACTTTAGTAATACTCGAAATTCACACACACACAAGCATACACCCTCACACACACACACACTCACCCCCCTCCACACACACACACACACACACACACACACACAAACACACACACACATACACGCACGCACGCATACACACACACACAAAAAACACAAAACAGAAACACACAGAATCACACACACACAGACACACACACACAGACACACACACACACAAACACACACAGAATCACACACACACACACACACAAACACTTACACACACACATACACACACACACACACATACACACACACACTCACACACACATATAGAGAAACAAACACATGCACACCCACACCTCAAAACAACATGAAACAAGTAAAAAAAACAACATAAAACCCAGAAAATAAAACCCCATGCACATGGTCTGCTCTGGTAATTCTTACTCTTACCACGGCCAAGTCAGAGGTCAGTATTTGGAGAAGAAGAAGAGGAAACTGAGCAAAAACAATATGTTTTCCTTTGGTAAATACTAGCATAACTCACCTCCTGTGTTTTATAGTAGTACAGTGTGTTGTCCTTCTTGAGCACAAACCAGCGTTTGCGCCACTGTTTGCCGACGCGCCCCCCCGACAGCTTGTGCAGGTAACCCGTGGCAACCGGCTCCCCGCCCATGTCCCGCAGCGTGTTCCCCAAGGTCGTGGCCACAGTCAAGGTCAGACGGTCTGTCGGGCCTGGAGGTCAACAAGGAAAGGCATTTATTTTGCATCTATTTACATTATTTAAGCGGATTGGACAAAAATCAAATGTGCTTATAGAAGTCTTCTCCTCTAAAACAAATATAATGCAATACATTTGCAATGACAACAAGAGAAAAGTATTTCTGAAACAAGGTCAGGCAGTCTGTTGGACTTGGATGAAAACAAAAAAAGTCATTAAGTATTTCTTCCCAATTTCTTTTAAATAGGATTGGATGAACAGGACAAAATTCAGGTTTGTTGTATGCCCCTAAAATAATTACTGAAAAAATCTAAAAAGATTTAATTAAAAATCAAATAGAATCCCTCTACTCAAGAATCATAATTATATAGAAACAAATACATTTGACATGAAAACAAGACAAAAGTAATTTCTGAAACCTCCTTCTAAAAACCTAGAGTCTTCTTACACAACACAAGAGGTTGATGTGCAGTTCTGGGCTAAGTTGATAGGTGGCATCGCTAAGATGGAGGCTGCATCTGACAGCATCAGAACACACACTTACCCTGTTTGATGATGGTGACAGCATCCGAGTGTTTACAGTCGGTGACATCACGGTTCTGTACAGAAGTGAGAATGTCGCCCACACGAATCCCTGCTCGCTCTGCTGGACTGTCTGTGAGGCATGGAAAAATCACATCATTAGAAACTAGTAAGGTAACATTTGCAAAGCAAATACATGACGTTTTGACTGCACACGGTCTAGCTACTAGTACTGCTGTGTTTATTCTTACTCTTATCACATTCATATACTAGAAACTTTTGAAAATTGCAAAGGAGATGCATAATGCTTACCTTAACAAGGTCTAGCCCAAGAAATTACTGTACATTTTATTCGTACTCAGTCAAATACAGTTGTATGCATGGTGAGCAGGCTCTCCAACTTCGTTCTGCTACATTATGTAACCTAATACCACAGGGTTACAAGGTGGTGCTACAGCACCAGTTACCATAGTGACAAACATCTGGTTCAGGTCGTTGACCTTACGTGTGTGTTTGCCATGGCAACGAGAGAACCTGAACCCACCTTTGTCCACCTCAGTGATGACGATTGGTCGAGACTTCTGGATGCGGAAACCGAACTGGACCCCGGGCTGCTTCATTAGGTGGATGGTCCTCTCACGAACTGTAAACAAAAACAATAACAACAACAGTCGTCATGACAACAGAACTGAACCCTGGGCTGCTTCGCAAGGTGGATGGTCCTCTCACGAACTGTAAACAACAACAACAGTTGTCATGGCCACAATAACAGCAGTTGTTGTCAAGGTTACTCATTCCCTAGTAGCATTGTTACTATAGTTACACTTTTTTTTGGTCCTTAGAATAGATTCTATTGCTCTGGTTACTGACTTATCTGCGACATTGTTGCTACAGCTACCAATCTCCCAGGGATACGGTTGCTATAGTTACCCACCAGACCCAGTACCATTGCTATGGTTACCAACCCAGTGAAAAGACTGTTGCCATGGTTACCAAATACTTGTTGTGGTTACCGACACACATGGTTTCTATGGCTGTCTGCCATGGCCATGGTTATTGTGGCCATGGTTACCATGGTTATGGTTACCGTTCCATGGTTACTGGTGCCATGGTTACTGTCACTATGGTTACCGTCACCAAGGTAACAGGCGCCCTGCTCACTGTGTTCAACATAGCCATGGTTACCGTCACCATGGTTACCATAGCCACGGTTGCTGTTCAAAATCGCCATGGTTACCATAGCCATGGTTACCCACCTGCGGGCGGCAGGTTGGCCAGTCTCCAGCTGCTGCCCTCTGACCTCTTCCTGCGGCTGGCGTTTCGGTACCGCTGCCGGAACGACGCTTCGGACAGAGTTGTGCCCGTCGACTCACGGCCTGGCTGCCGCCGGCTGAACCCGCCTGTAAGGTCTGGGGAAAAAATTGTTAAAACTTTCAGTATTATACCAAAATTTTCGTTAAAAATTTCCTTCAGAGTTCCTGTAGCGCTGACAGAACGAAGCTTCGGACAGAGTCGTGCTTGTCGACTCACGGCCCGGCTGCCGCCGGCTGAAACCTCCTGTTAGGTCTGGGGGAAAAAGATTGAGATTCTTAAAACTTTTATTAGACCAAAATTTTCCTTTTTTAAAAAAAATGTCTGTCTTGCATGACGTGCTGTGCTCACATACACATGTATACATGTACCTTTACCGATGCACTTACCGTCATCTTTGTCAGTGGATGTCCCCATGCTGTGCATGACGGGGGAGCCTTTCGGAGTGGACTGGGCCGAGGGAAGCTCCTCACACACACGAACGCGCGAACACACACACACACACACTAACACACACACACACATATCATTGTAAACCACTCACCGTCATCCTCATCAGTAGATGTCCCCATGCTGTGCATGACGGGGGAGCCTTTCGGAGTGGACTGAGCCGAGGGAAGCTCCTCATCGTCGCCTACATAGATCCAGTTATTGGCACGGTAACTGTCGTCAAACACACCTGTAAACAACAACAACAACAGACCTGGGGTAAACAAACATGTCAACAACAACAGAGGTCAATAAACACACCTGTAAACAACAACAGTTAATAAACATATCTGAAAAAAAAAACACCTAGAAACAACAAGTCTTAGAGATTTGTCACGAGAGTCCATACAACATTTACAAACTCTCTAGCCTACACGTAGTGCCATATTAAAAGCATTCATGGAAAACATCTATGAGCAATAGTCATCAGGTTGGACGCTGAATAAATAGACTGTTTTTTTACACAACCAAGTCTTTTAGTCTTTTATTCAGCCAACGTTTTGGCTGAATAAAATTGCGTACCCGTCTGTCACCTTCCTCAGGGCAATTCTGACTGGTTCACATTGCACTGCTGCACAGGTGTCTTAAAAACAGTTGAAGTCTGACAACCACTCTTGTCTAGTGCTGTGTACCTAAACCCTCATTTAGATTCGAGTTTAGGTTTAGGTTCAGTTCCGGACTGGTACACAGCACTACACTTGTCTGGTCTCCTGGGCTTTTCTCTTCAAGACATTTCTGAAGATGTCTCACCTGTTGTCTCTTCTCCTTCTCCATCTCCCACGTCTGGAACCCTCTTCCAAGTCGTCTCAACGCCCTCCACATCTAAATAACAACAACAACATCATCTAATTTATAACAACAACAACATAAACAACCCTAATTTTGGGTTAGCTAACCGTAATTTTACAACAATCAAAAATCTAAAAGAGTAGGGGAACTTCCCGGTGTGAGTGGTTCAAACCTTACAGTCCAGTCTTAAGCAGCTTGTACTTACATGTACAAAACTGGTGTGTACAGTTACACCTAAAAAAAAGTGGTTTACCAGTTATGCGAAACAAACAAAATCATTCAACAATCATCTAATTTACAACAAGCAGCATTCGGCCCACATCTCAAAACCACTTCCATGTTGTCTCTACACTCTTTCTTGTGTAAATAACAAGAAAACTTGCAAGATTAGCCCTGCAGGGCTAAAAGGCTTCGAAATAAATGAAACAAACTGACCAGTTTTTCCGCTGCCCTGTTGATGTTTGATGACCACGTTGATCTCCTCCCATCTCCACTTCTCGTACGGACCCCCGGGCTCCCTCCCCTGACCCTGGGGAACTCTCCCCTCACTCTGGGGACTTGCAAGCTCGGGGTCCGACTCAAACTCTGAGGGGAAATCATGAATGAATGAATGAATGCTTTGTGAATGAATGGTTCATTCAAATTAAAATCATGGCAATGCTTAGTGAGGGTAAAGCTTATAAAGGTGTCAACAAAAAAAGGTTTCTTTCATTTGAATTTCAATTACATAACATTTTTGTTTATTCACTTCAATTTTCAGCTGAAAACAAGGCTCATACAAAATAGTCAAAACTCTAACCATGACCATAGAATGTTGCTAAAATGGTCTAATGTATAACACTAGGAAGACTGTAATGATTCTTACAGAACGTGGATTGAACATGAACCTATATTTACCTGTCAAAAACACATTGATAGTATTACTAAAATGTCTTATAACAAATCATGCCACTGGCAAAGAAACCAGGCAATGTGCTCTCCTTAAAATGTTGTAACAACGAAGCATGCTAAGAACTCCTGACAAACACACACGCCAGGTAAAACATCACAACTGGCTCAGGCTTACAAGGGTTAAAGAACCAACAAGTCAAGAAAATAATGATAACAAGCCTCATGCCTTTCCAAAATAACTGAAGGAACTGAAAGTCATCATGCTTAACAGTAATGTGTGGAAAACTGAAAAACAACATCAGGCAAATCAAACAGCTCACATGCCTTCAACAAAATATAAAATAATATAATGGTAACTTGTCATGCCCAACAGCCAGGTGTGGAAAACACAGCAGCCAATGAAAACATTCCTGCTGCAACTTGACCAATCAGCAGGCAGTACAGCAGGCAGCAGCCAATCACAGACCATAACTGTAGTAATCAGCAGGCATTGACCAATCAAAACATTACTGCAACTTGACCAATCAGCAGGCAGTATACAATGTCATGTAACAGGCAACAGCCAATCACAAACCATATCTTGAACAAACAGCAGGCTGTACAGCAGGCAGCGACCAATGAAAACATTGCTGCCACAAATCAACCAATCAGCAGGCAGTACAGCAGGCAGCAGCCAATCAGCAGCCAGCGCGGTACCTGTCTGGCAGCCGCCGTCGCGGTACACCGTGATCTCCTCCAGCGTGGGTCGCCTGTCGTCATGGGTCGTGATGTCATCTCTTGTGGGTCGGAGGTCACCATGTGTCATGACCTCATCACCATGGGTTGTGACCTCATCCCGCGTGGGCCGCCGGTCGGCGTGGGTGTGTCCCCGTCGGCGCTCGCTGGACCGCCGGGCGGGAACGCGGCTGATGATGACCCGGTCGGACGGCGCGTGGGGCGAGCGTCCCGCCCAGACCTCGAGGAAATCATCCTCGCTCTCAACCTCCTCGTCCGTCTGCACCTCCTTGTTGCTTAGCGATGAAGACGCCTGCATCGTCTGGACCGATATCGTCCGGGAGGTCCCTGGGTGGGTTGAACCCGGGTGTGCGGCGCCGTGGGTTGGTTCCTGGTGCAAGGGCAGGGCATCGCTGGCCTTCGCTTCCCCCTCCGACTCCAGAACTCGGTCGATGGCTTCGATGATGTTCTTGAGTCTCTCATACGGCCGATCTTGTCTGGACAGCGGCACGGCGGCCCTCTGGCCTTCCAGCTCGATGGTCAGCTCTCCTGGACGGTTTGAACCGGCTTCAGCTGCTCTGATTGGCTGGATGCTGGCTTGATTGACAGGTGAGCTAGGACTAGGGGCTCTGATTGGTTGGCTGAGATTTTGATTGACAGGTGAGCTAGGACCTGGGCTTCTGATTGGTTGATTGGGGGGTGAGCTAGAACTAGGGTCTCTGATTGGTTGGCTGAGATTTTGATTGACAGGTGAGCTATAACTAGGGACTGTGATTGGTTCACCAACAGCTTGATTACCAGCTGACCTATACATAGGAGCTCTGATTGGTTGACTGAGATTTTGATTGACAGGTGAGCTATAACAAGGGGCTGTGATTGGTCGACTGACAGGTTGATTGACAGGTGTCAAGTCTTTCTCGGAGCCTTTCAGAACTTGCAAAGCTTCGGACACATCTGCAAGGAAGGATGCAGTCTGGTCATCTCCGAGGGACAAACGCCCTTCCACCCCCTCGGGCGAGAGTGGAACATTCCGTTCCACCCCCTCAGGTGGGAATGGAACAGCCCGTTTGTCCCCCTGGGAGGACCCCTGTGTATTGCTGTATTGCGTACCCCCCTCTAGAAGCTGTGTAATGCTGTGAGCGATGTCGTTTAACACTGCCTGCACTGTGGGGTCAGATTTAGGGCGGACATTTTGATCATCATCATCGCGATGTTCTTCCGCTGCCTGTTCTGCCGCCAAGGTCAACAGCTCAAGGTTATCTACCTGTACCTCTTCAGATTCACTATACACCTGGGGAACACCTAAGGTAGATACCTGCAAAATACCTAAGCTAGACTCCTGAAGAACGCCTTTGCTAGATACTTGTGAAATACCTGCGCTATAGGTTGTAGATACTTTGGATACACCTGCACTAGATTGCTGTGTAACACCTAAACTAGACACTTGTGAAACACCTGCACTAGATACCTTATGAACACCTGGGCTAGTCTGTAGGATATCACCTATCATCCTTAAAGTTTTCCCACTATCTGAGTAGGAAGAACTTGTTTCTTCTGTGTGCTTTACAGTATCTAATGTCTGAGATGGTAGCATCTCTTCTGGTTCTGTCAAATCTAAAACTTTTCCTCCCTCATCCTTTCTATAAGTATAACCTCCTCCTCCTTCCCCTAGCTGACTCAAGGCATCGTCAAAGATTGCAGCTAGCTTACTCTTAGTCTTAGACCCCTTTTCTACTTCTTTATCAGACGTCTTAGGCTGTCCAGCATCTCTAAGAAACTGTCTAACGTCTCGTAAGGAATCGTTTTCACTGCTAGAGAGCGAGAGTTCCTCCTCAATGCCGAGAAAAGCTTTCTCCATTTCACTCAGCTGTCTGTCTGAATCACTGTGACAATCTGGTCCATCTATTCTCCCCATCCCACTAAGCTGTCTGTCTGAATCAGTGTGACAATCCCTGCTCTTATCTGGTCCATCTCTTCCCTCTAACTTGCCCTTACCTGTTATCTCTCTCCCCACACTTCTCATTTCTTCCCCTTCTCCCATCAGTTTGTCCTTCAGAACATCAGTAGGCTCAGGTTTGACCTCTGCCACCGTCACGACCTTCCCCACAAGGTCGTCTCCCGCCCCTCCCCGTCCCGCCGCCTTCCCAGCATGCAGTGCGACTTCCGGGGTCTCCCTCGGCTCCACCCTGGCCTCAACTCCCAGCATGCCCCTCTCTGGTGCAGCCTCTGCTCTGGTGGTTGCCATGGCAACTCCCGCATCCACACCGTCATCGTCTGTTGCTACGGCAACGGGTTTCTCCGCCGCATCGCTGCTGTGGTCGTCAGATGTTGAGGAGGAGGAACCCTTTCTGAACCAGCTTCGCTTTTCTTCTTCTTCTTCTCCTTTTCTTTTTTCACGTCTGCCGTCCCTTCTTCCTCCGCAGATGCCTTCTCTGGAGGAACGTCAACTGCCCTCTCCTGGTACCTGGCTTCCATAGCTGGAGCAGTCTCCTGAAGGTCATCTGTTGTGACCTTGACTTGTGCAGGTATGGCGGAAACTTCAGCGACCCTCTCCCGACGTACTTCAGACTTAATTTCCGTCACGACAGTCTTGGTTTCAGAGACGACCTCTGTGGGCTGTTTCACCTCAGCCTGAAGGTCAGCGGTGCCCCCCTCCCCACTCTCCAAGGTCGTGGGGCCAGCTGAGAGCCGCTTCACCACCGTGATGGTCGTATCCCTCCCCGGGAAGTGCATGTAGTTCAGCTTGTACTGGGAGGTCGCGCCGGGGTCATGACCTTCAGACGGCTGCTCGAAGGTCGCGACAGTCTCCCGCACCGGGGACAGGTTCGATACGATGACCTCCGGTGACTTTGGCGTGACCTCCTCCCTGACCTATAAGAGAGAGAGAAAGAGAGAGAGAGAATGGTTTATTCAATATAAAAAAAATGCATAATGTTTACCTTCACATATGGTCCGCTCTATTAATTCTTACTCAAACACATTCATATATACATGTATATGGTCAGACAGGAGTCTAAATCCCTCCTGCTATGAAATTGCAACATTATGAAACCCAACACCAGTTACCATGGTGAGAGACGTCAACAAATCAGGTCATTGGCTAGGTCATGATCAGAGCTTAGTGTTTGGAACAGAAGAGGAAGAAGAAACTGAGTGAAAACAATATGTTTTCCTTCGGTAAACATAAAAAACAGTGTGCGGGAGGAGGAAAGAAGCCTGTAGGGCTTGTACCATGTCCTCCAACTTTAAACATACTAAATATTAATCATTGAGGCTAATTATAAATAAAGAAAACTTAGATATAACACAAAACAAACACTAAATAATAATCATGAAGCCAACAAAATAAAATATTAATAGCTAATGATAAATAAATTAAAGAAAACCTACTAGTAGATATAACCAAAAATGTACCTCTTCCTCCATCTTGAGTGGTCTGATCTCAAAGTCTTGAGAAGACTCCACCACTGCTGCCTCCCGATTCGCTGCCTTGGTTTTCTGCACAGTCTGGGAGGATGCTACAACCGCAGCCTCTCTCCTCACTACAGTGGTGTGTGGTACAGCATACTGTGGACTGGTACTGGTGGTTGTAACATGCTGTGTCGCTGGTGTTGTACCAACAGACATGTAGGTGGTGGTTGTGCCTTGCTGTGTATCTGGGGTTGTAACTCCAGGGATGATGTAACTGGTGGTTGTAGTACTTGTACCATGTTGTGTATCTTGTGTTGTACCACCAGGCATGTAGCTAGTGGTTGTAACATGCTGTGTGTCTGGTGCTGTACCACCAGGGATGGTGTAACTGGCTGATGTGCTGTACTGTACAGGGCTGCCATCCACAGTCACATAGCCGGTTGGTGTTGTGTACTGTGTCTGTTGTGTTGCAGCCCTACTCACATAACCAGTGGTTGTAACATGCTGTGTATCTGTTGCTGTAACTCCAGGGATGTAGGTGGTTGTAGCACCACCAGGGATGGTGTAACTGGTGGTTGTATCTGATGTTGTAACACCAGGGATGTAGGTGGTTGTTGTAAGGTGCTGTGTATCGGTTGTACCAACACCAGGGATGGTGTAACTAGTGGATGTGCTGTAGCTTCCTGATGATGTGTACTGCATGGTGCCTGGTTGAGCCAGGGCGGTTGTATCCGGTTGGCCGTTGCCATGGTGACTGGTTGTCATGGTTTCTGTGACGACCGTGGGTGTCGGCCCGACCAGCGTGAACTTTGCCCCGTACATTTCGATGGTCTTGAAGGAAGAGGAAGAAGAGTAGAGCTTGTATTCTTGGGTGATCGTTTCTTCGCTTGTTGTGATGTCTTGGGAGCTTGTGGAAATGTCTTGGCCGACATCTTGGAAGGAAGGAACGGAGATCTCCTTGGTGATGACCTTGCAAAGAAGAAGGAATCTTTATACAACTTGCAGACTTTTTTTTATTCAGAAAAACAATTATACAAATACAAATATAGAACTAGATAGGTAACATTTGCAAAGCAAATGCATTATTTTTTACCTCCACACATGGTCTGCCCTGTTAATTCTTACTCAAACACATATATATGGTGACAGGAGCCTAAATCCCTCTTACTATGAAATTGTAACATGATGTAACCCAACACCAGTTACCATGGTGACAGACGTAAACAAATAAGGTCATTGGCCAGGTCAGAGGTCAGAAGAGGAAGAAACTGAGCAAAATCACTCTGTTTTCTTCGGTGAACATAATAAAATGACGTACCTTCCTCACAGCATGGGTATCTGGGGCATGATCAGCGGTGGTGTCGGTGTAGGTGTAGGATGGACGGGAAAACACGCTGCTTGTGGTCTGTGTGGGAACCGAGCGATGTTCCAGTCCCCCAATCACGAGATACTCCAATCCCGCCTGGCCATGTGCTCCGAATCGGATTTCGGAGGGATGGGGAGCGCTGGAGCGGTTTGGACGAGTTTCTCGGCTCTCGAGCTCGGCCTCCATCTTGGCGTAGTCTGTGGGAGTCACGTTGGCATCCAGCAGTCTGGCCTTTTCCACAATGTACCTGAGGTGTGTAGAGGTTTTACATATTGGTTTGTCTAGAAAAGACCCAAGTGTGAAAATGATGGTTCAAATGGGATAATCCAAGCCATTTTGGGGGGCTTCAAGCAAGAGGAGAAGTATACATACAGATTGATGAATAATTATCCACTTTCATATTACATATTATATGTTGAAGATCACTTCTCGAATTTTGTAATTGTAAACTAAGTAAGTAAGTATTTAAGTGTATATAAGAGAAGGATTGCAAAATAAAAAAGGAGCGCACAAATGTATATTTCCATGACTAATAGATGGTCTAAACAAAAAACAAGTAGACAAACACACCTATCCCCCAGTGGAGACCTCCTGCGTAGAAACTCTCCCTCCAGCTGACCCCCCTCTGGAGTTTTTCGCTGACGTGGTCTCCCCCTCTCTCCGTCCCTGCGATGTTCCGGAGATGACTCTGGGCTGGCCGGGCGCGCAGACGTTGGGCTTAGGTATGTGGGCGAGGTTGGGGGGGATTTCGGGGAGGTCTGGACCCCCTGCTCCACTGGGAAGGAGATTTTGATCATCCTGGCGGCATCGGACGGAGCAGAGTCACGGGGAGGCAAGATTTCTGGCCTGGAGGCAAAAGCAGGAGCTGCTTGGAGCTGAGCTTCCTGCTGGTAGGGAGCGGCGGCCATGTTGTCAGCTGGAGCGAAGGCAAGGTCATCCACAGGTCGTGCGGTGACAGCAAGGTCGTCTCCAGGCCTAGGGGCGTAAGCTGACCCTTCGACACGAACAGGTTTCTGCTCATCTGCATCTTCAGGGCTTCTTCGTAGTTTTTCTTGTTTCCCCCGCGGATCCCTGTCTAAGGAAGCTTCTCTCAGTTGGAGGGTTCCATCTTCTCCTTCAGGAGACTGTCTTTGCCCCTCCCTCTCCTTTTCTGCCGCTTTCTTGTTCTTTCGTTCCTTCTCCTTCTTCTTCTCCTTTGCCTCCTTTTTCTTCTCGCCTTCCTGAGCACCTTTCTCTGCATCTTCTTTTCCCTTCTTCTTACCTCCAAACACCTACGTACATGTAACAACAAAAAAGAGGCACCGAAAAGTCACGAAAATGCAAATGATTTGCTGATTTGTGCTCATTTGCATTTTTGTGACTGCACAAATGCACCCCTAACCCATGAACACTGTGCTTTACTTTTACATGGATCCAGTTCACTTTTACAAAACTATAACATATCAACAATGTCTTGTCAACTTAGTATCTTTCATGTGTCCATGTTTGTTGAATATTGAGGAGAGAAATTTCACAAGCATATTTGCTATTTTTTGGACTTTTTAACCAAATTGAAAAAAATAAAAAAGAATATCACCTTCTTCTTCTTCCCCTTCTCCTCAGCCTCTGGAGTTCCCCCTCTGCGACCTTCATCCCCAGGTTTGCCCGTGGTTCCGGGTCCTCGCCGCTCCAGGCTGCCCTCAGCGCCCCTCCCGGTGCCTGCAGGTTTGGCAGGGCTGCCCTTTGCGTCCCTGCCTGGTTTTACAGGACCCGCCAGATGAATGGCTTCGATTGGCAGGTCCGTTTCCATGGCAATGTCACGGGGCTTCCTGGTTGGCTCCTGTCGGGCGCGTTTTGTCGGAGGCTGGTCCACTTCTTCAACAACGATCCTGGGGACATCTCCTTGGGCTACTCCTGCAGAACAGGAACAAGAAATTATTACAGAGGCCATCTACATCAGGGCATTGTCCTCAACAAAGATGGGAGATGCCACAGACTTTCTGCAACCTACAATCCATTGCTTACAGACTCACAGGTATCATCTGCGTGATGTGACATCACAGAAGCAATGGATTGCTTATTCGTTGACCATTTTTGGAGATGTACAGTCAAAGATTTGGGTAAGTCCAATTTGTTGTGTCGGAAGTTAATACTAGTTCAAACTTGCTTCATAATGACTTCTGCTACGTTGAACACAGATTTTCATGACAAGAAACAGAACCTTACCTTCATCCTCGCCCTGTTCCTGTTTCTTATCATGAAAATCTGTGTTTAACTTTAAAACTTTCAATTGTGTTCGCCTGGAGTTAATCAGTTGAACATGAACAACTTCGCAGACATAGCTGGTAATACAGTAGTAAAAAAGTACAGTCATACACATACATAATACAAACGAATAAGTAAATACAGTTACCTTCGTCCTCGTCTAGTTCCTCAGGAATCTGCAGACAGGACAGCAGGTTCCTACTCGGCTGGCGGGAGGGGGACTTCATCCGTCCCTCCGGCCCCCCCACCATCACAGACTTGGGACGGCCCGGGCGGTCCAGGGTCTTCGCTTTCTCCTCATCGTAAGGTTCGTCTACGTTTATCTCTGACAGGACCTGGGGACATCATATAGTAGATCAGGCTTTTAGCTAGAATTTTTAGTAAGGAGGTGTTTTAGAATTATTTTATTGTATGCTATATGCAGCAGAGCCATGGAACAAGTGGCACAGACACAAGGTTTTTAGTTTTTTTAATATTTATAAGCTCTCAAATACTACTTCATTTTGAGTTGGAAAGTATGAGGAATTTGAGTTTTTTCCTTCATCAACAACATCATTTTTGTATTCACAGTAAAACTGAAGGGAAGCATGTGTGCATTGCACTAACAGAAAAGAATTGGGTGCATGCACAGCTCCAAATAAATATGTGAGCACTAAGCACCAAGGAAACCAGATGAAAACCGGACAGTGAGAAAAGTAAGGTGCACATGCACCCTGTATTTCTAGCCCTGAATTAACAGATTTCATGCAATGCTGTATGTCACATGCAACCTGATTACAATAACTATAATTTGAACTGATCTGTTCAGATTACAGGCAAGTAGAGATCCTAAACAAACAAACCGGTTCTGAGTACGGTCGTGTGCGGCGCTCGCGGTCCAGTTTCTTGGGTCGGCGCGGCACCAGATTCTCATCCCCTCCACCTCGAGCTCCTGCTCCTCCGGATCGGAACGCCGGGTACTCCTCCTTCCACTCAGCCTTGGAGTAGATCAGCCCGCCTTTCTTAGTCACCTTCGTCTGCTTCTTCTTACCCATCTTGGAACCGTGTCTTAGATCTTATAAAATGTCTCAGATCTCAGGAGAAGTTTTAGTGTTCAGGAGTCACTTCTTGACCTGTAAGGAACAACAAAATATCTTAGATAGAACAATTTCTTAGCTCTCAGGAGATGTCTTAGTGTTCAGGAGTCACTTCTTGGCCTGCAAGGAACAACAACATATCTTAGATAGAACAATGTCTTAGCTCTCCGGAGATGTCTTAGTGTTCAGGAGTCACTTCTTGGCCTGCAAGGAACAACAACATATCTTAGATAGAACAATGTGTTAGCTCTCCGGAGATGTCTTTCTTAATCACCTTAGTCTGCTTGTTCTAGAACCTTGTCTTAGACATTAGGAGATCTCAGGAGGTGTCTTAGCGTTCAGGAGTCACTCTTCAGCCTGTAAGGGCCCTAGAAAAATGTACACAGTACTTGGCAGTCGGTTGAGCAACCAGACAACCTAATAAACAGCTGTGAAGGCATAAACAAACAACAGTAAACCGATCAACAACTGAAACCACAGATTGGCACATGGCTGTGAACCAATCAACAAACAACTACAGGGATGTACTGTAAACTCATCTCCAAGCAGATGTTTTGGTGGCTGCCAGACACTATAAAATTAGACTTAGAAGTTAGAGAGTTACTGATTAGTAAGTTAATTTCCAAGCAGATCATACGGTGGCAAGGCAGTATTCATTGGCCAGAGGAGTGTCCATTAGCCACCGGTGGCCGTACAAACTCCTCTGGCTAATGGATAATGTCTTGCCACTAAAGGGATCTGCTTGGAGATTATTAATAAGCATCAAATTGGCAAGACAGTATCAAAATTTTAAATTGCCAGAGAGTATTACTAAATACCACTGTTTGACTGGTAAAAAAAATTCAGTTGCAAAAAAGGAAGCCTGCCAAAAAAAATGAAAAAGACATACAAAAGTTGAAACCCAAACCTCTGCTTGTAAACTGATGTATGTACAACCAACATCATTCCAACAGTAAAGCTCCAAAGGGGGGCCATTTACATTAGGACTAGCAGCTCGTTACCAGGTCGTTACATTAATTAGATTAACCTAGAACTAGGCCACCCTGAGAGGCCCACCATGGCTTGTTGATAAACAGTTGGAGATCTGCAGGTCCTAATTTCACAGATAAGGAACTAATTAAGTCCTAATCAACAGTAATTAACTCATAATCAATGGACTGTTTCCTTAATTAACAGTTGGTGTCAGTAATTAAGATTGCCAACATGTGTTCTTTTCTTAAACATCTCTCAAAACACATAAACAGATGATGAACAGATAATAACAACTAAATTTCAGTTGTAAAAAATTTCATTTGTAAAAGTAAAGAAGCTTGAACATTATGAAGTAGTTTAACTGTAATTTTTAACACAGGAGATTTGGACTTACCCAAAGTTTTGACTGTGCAACTCCAATCTTTGTTAAGGAATGAGCAATACATACACACACAAACACGCAGACACACAAACACACACATGCACAAACACACGCGCACGCACACACTCATACACACACACACAATCTCTTGTGTTGGAAATTACAGTTTAAATTGCTTCATAATGACTTCTACCAACACAGATGAACTTTCAAGACAAGGAAAGAACATGTCTAGCCTGTAGCTATTGGTTATTTCTATGTATACTGTAAGACTAGTTACTGTACATTCTTCCCTACACCCTGGACTGTTGCCACTAATGACAGCCAGACCTGGCCAAGTCTGACCTCAATCAGCATAGACTGGAAACAATAAACCTGAGTTCTCATGTCTGGAATGATTGGGAGGGCCTTTTTAGTCTTCATGGTCTGTAGGCAGCCTCCCCAAATCATCTTTTGATAATCAGTACATTAGCCGTAAGTGTTCCTAATCAGCTCTGAGAATTCAACATAATTCGTAATCGGCGATGGAAATTTTGTGTAACTCGTAATCAGTACCCCCCATGCAGGCCCTCAATTGGAACTACTCTCACACCAGCCTGTACCTCCTCCAGCCCCCATAATCAGCCCCAAGTTCCCAGCAGAATGCAGGTCGGAATGTTGAGGAATGCGGCGGTCACTAAATCACACAGGAGTTCAGACTCCACCCTGTAAGCCCTAGGTGCCAAGGGACACAAATCGCTTACATACCGACCTCTAGAACTTATACATGTACACCATAAGGGCTAAACTTACATATCACAACTGATGATGATATTATCATCATCAGCCATACTCATATACAGGACCAGTCATTTCATACACACTAAAATCACACAGGAGTTCAGACTACGCCCTGTAAGGCTGGGGTGCCAGGAGACCCAAATGTCTCGAATACCGACCTCTACATGTACATATCTCATAATCCTATACAGGGCTCCATATCTCATGGTTATACCGATATATCTCATATACAGAACCCACATGGCTCACATACCAACCTGCTTACCTCCATATCTCATGGTTATACATGTACGTCATGTACATGTACACAAGTCATACACAGAGCCAAACATCCAAATCATCATCAGTCATACTCGCATACTGACCTCTACATACGTACATATACCAGGGTCCCATATCTCATGGTTATACACAGGACAAGGTCGATATATCTCATATGTAGGACTCACATGTCTCACATACCAATCTCCATATCTCATGGTTATAATAATATGCTGAAACGAAGATCCATATCATCATCAGTCATATACACAGGGCTCCATATCTTCTGGTTATGACTGGGCCAATTTATCTCACACGTCTTACATACCAACCTTCATATCTCATGGTCATACACTGGGCCAAATATCCATATCACAGTCAGTCATACTCATATACAGGACCAGGCAGATACATATTATATATCTGGTACTCTCCAAGCAGAGGTTGATGGGGAAGATTGTTACCTTTGTATAACGTCAATAAATCTTCCCATTTATATGGCCCATTTTTTTTTGTCGCTACCCCAACCTGGCCAATGGATACTGCCCGGCCAACTTGATACTGTCTTTTTGCCACCCTATAATCTGCTTGGAGATTGCATATCTTTTACACAGGTCAAAAAAAAAAATCCATATCACTACTAGTATCAGTCATATATACAGGACCAGTCTGATATATCTGGTCCACAGGACTTGACCCCAAACGACTTGTGCTGACAAGTCTTCTCCCTCCTGTGTGAAGTCTGACTTTGGCCTTGTCTCATGTCTGCCTTCTCTCACAGTTCAAGTTCAGAAGTTCATGGTCGTGAGCTTCTGACATGTCTCACCAACCTAACAATTCCAGATTTAGCCAGTTACCTCCGGCGCAGACCAGCAAACACACATGGTCAAACTTTCCTCGCATTCTTAGCTAAAAATCCACCTTCAATTCAGGCAAAACTTTTTCAACTCTTCATTCCTTGTCATGATCAACTCCATGATCTGTATGGTTAGATCACTAGAGATCGCCAGAGTTTAAGAAAAAAAAAAGGTCATCCCTACCTACCGATTCTAATTTTTTCACGAAATGAAACAGTTTTTTTTCCTAGGCCTAAACGTTTCTGCCGCATTTCCAGGAGGTATCCTGATCTGGAGCTGTTTTGGCCTGGAAAACTGATTTGCCACAGAAGTACAGAAATAGCAGATCCAATAACAAACTCAGTCATCACCTGTTCTGTCAGCTGGACCTAAAACGATGTCGTAAACTTCCCTGACCTGCACATGCCATGCTTCATCATACAAGTTTATTAGCTTAGAACATTAGAATTAGAACAACAGAACTTTAGTTTAGAACCCTGGAATTTTAGAACCCTGGAACTTTGGATCCCTGGAACTTTGGAACATTGGTAAATTAGAACATTAGAACACTGGAACATTAAAAATTTAATAGAACTTCAGAACAGCTGGAACATTAGAATAGAACTTCAGAACACTGGAACATGTACAACTCATTGACCAATGAAGACATCTCTATATTACTATAATTTCATTTTGGAGGAATTCTAGGCATTTCAAGGGGCATTTTTTATGATATCAACTTCAAGCTTGAGTTATTTGGTAAGTACAGTTATAACTAGTTTCTGGCATGGAAAAGTGATTTGACGCAGGCTGACAGAAATAGCCAACATCACAACAAAACCAAAACATCAGCTGTTTCTGTCATCTGTTCCAACTTCATCATACATGGTGATCAGAAGGTGCCTGGGGCAAGTCTAGCTTTTATAGGTTCTTGGATAAACAGAGACAATCCAGAACCGTGCCTGATCCTAACTCACCATTCAGGCATAGAACTAGATAGGCACGGTTCTGGATACAATAATAACACTGTTACTGAATGAACAGTTGTTAAGGTTTTGGATACAATAATATTGCAATAATATGATATAATAATTAAGTTTATTGCAAATTCCTGTCCAAAGGCTAATTACAAAGAACAAAGACAAAAGAACATTGAAACAGGGTACAAAAATAACTACAAAGCACAAGGTGAGAGTGTGAAGGTTACCTGTCTAAAACTATATCTGAAGGGTTTGACTCCTAATAATTTCGTTGTTAGAGTTCAGTTGTTAGAGTTATGGCTGTCCCAGACCCTGTGTCAGCTGTTGCCCCAGTCTGTCCTGTCAGGTGCAGGGGTTAATCAGGGTCAGGCCACTCCATATCTGTTCTGTGGATGACGTCTGGGCAGGCAGCAAATTTGGTTTGTTATTGTTATTCCAGCCAAGAAAATGCCCTTTTGTCAGAAAAGTCTCTAAGTTCCCCATATTTTGGTAAATAAAGCAAGCAACATAATAAACTTTACAGTACTTTTTTATTGAAAAATAAAATAATTTTCTTTCTGCAAGTAAAATGCATAGAAAATGTAATGGGCAAGTGAAAAGTTGGTTTGGGCAAGTGGAAATGACCATGTACATGCCCGATTTGATAGTTCAAAAGGATTTTTGAAAACTTGTGAATGTCCAACCCTCAGCCTGTGTTCACCTCAAGATTTACAGTAACTGTATGTTTGGCTGTACTAGGTAGACATTAGTCATCTGGAAT